TCAGGACGTTAGTACAAAGTTCTGACGAAGGGCCTTCGCATGATATGTCGAAGTTCTTCTTATATTTTTGAGGTAGTAGTAAATCCTTCACACCACAACTGTGTGTTACCATCTCTACCTACACTGGCGCAGAGATTTTCTTCTTACCTTGATCTTGAAGAAAGGCTTCTTTTCTTCAACCTCTTCTTTCACTTCATCCTTGACTTCATCAACTTTAACATCCTCTTGTTCAACAGCTGGAGGACTTGTTTCTTCTTCTTGTTGCTTGGCTAGCTCCCTCTGTTTCTCCTTCTCACGTTTCTCTAAAGCTTCTCGTATCCACTGAGGAATAGCCTTGCGTTTCACCGTCTCTAAATCATTGCAGAGAAAGGAAGAAATGAATACATAGAGTAAGTATATTTTTGGTAAATATCAAGATTTCGTTGGCATCTCACTCGATTGAATAATAGTTGAAGGGTATTGTAGATGGAAATGGACCATTTGCATTATAGACTAAATTTTGAAAAATGCAAAATGACTGAAAAACGGCAAACTTCGCAAGGCTATATTATCCGCATTTTACAACATTTCGCAACGAATTGGCCTTGGGAATATTACTAATTTTGTGATATATATATATAATTTACATATAAGTATTGTTCTGGTTCTATAGCATCCTAGCTCATCAAACTTCATAACTATAAGGCTACTAACCCATTTTGCAGAAATGATTCTTAACAAATTCATACTGTAAAATACAATACATTGAACTTGGTATAAAAAACATACCTGTTTCAGATTGTAGAACATGACTTGGTAAACTGCTCATTGGTATTTCTGTTTGTAACAGGGGCTTTGGTGGTTGATGGTATTCTGGCTGCCTACCTTGGTCAAACTGGTCAAAATGACCATACTGCTGTTGCTCACTATAATTATATTGCTGGTAATTGTTTGGCTCACTGGGATAGGGTTGCTGATCAACTACACCATGGTGGTTGAAGTTTGAAAATTGACCATGCTGGTCGTTAGGGTATTGTTCTGGGGGAAATCCACCATGAGGTGCTAGTTGTTGGTACCTACCATCAAATTGATGGTTTTCATGAAATGCTGATGGATGGTGGTTAAACTGGCCACCATGATGTTGAGCATGAAATTCACCAGGAGGAGGGTTGCCAAAGTGATCAGCATGGTTATTCTGGTCATCATGGTGATGATCTTCACCCTGATGATTTTGGAGACCGTCATTATGTTGAATATTCGGCAGTTCTGATTGGCCAGTATCGTCCTCCTCCATTGGGGCAACTTCAATGTTATCTGACGTTTGTTCTTTATGAAAGTTGGGACCAGGGTCCTCGCCAGGGGGGTACAGTTGCCCATTTCCTGGAGGTTCCGGTTCACTTTCATGAAAATCACCCGGGGGTTGGGGGGCAGGTGGGTTTGGGACAGGTGGGTTGGAGGCAGGTGTGTTGGGGGCAGGTGGGTTGGTGGCAGGTAGGTTGGGGGCAGGTGGGTTGGGGGCAGGAGGTAGACCAGGGGGGTTGGGTTCAGGTGGATGTCCAGGGGGATTAGGGGTAGGTGGAACATTTTCTGGGGGGAGAGGTGGGGCATTCTCTGGGGGGAGAGGGGGGTAGGTCTGTTGCTGGTGTGGCATGTGTTGATATTGTTGTGCATAATGTTGTTGGGCCACATGACGTTGCTGAGCCCACAATGCTGCTCGGGCTGCCCAACTTTCGGCAGAGCCTGTAGTAAACAGCAAAGATGTGGATAAGCAGATTTTCTGTTACACATAAGTACAATATACTCAATAAAGTTTATATTAGATTAGGAATTTAAATTACGGTTGGCTAGTTTTGTCCAAAATGGCTTTCATTGTCACATTTTTATATATTGCGGCAATGACCACAATCATGACGTTCAATGCTGACAATATGTCAAGGGAGAAACTACCTAAAATAATCTATTTTCAGACCTTTCTACCATATTTTTCAGGACACAAAACAACAACCACAGGATGTTTTTGCTAATATATCGAGATTTTTGGGACTCTTGCTCAATAGAACCAATAGTTGAAGGGTTTTTGTAGCAGGGCAAAAAAAAGCACAACCTGGAGACACAAATTTCCTGCAGACCAACAGAGTATTTTTGTGCTAAATCTGCATGTGCATAAACATATAGTGTTCTAGCTGACCATGGTTTTAAATTCAAGGAATAATGTCTGTCAACCATATGTTGTTGCGCCCATACTGGGACATGCGTGTTAAGGTTTCCTTCAAATTTTCAACAGAAAATCTTCATTCAATGCAGCTGTTTAACATTCCCTGCGAGTAGTTCTTGCCTATTTTTTCCACCCCGGTTTTGTAGATGGAAATTTTTGGCAGATTATATACTAAGCATAGTTATAGAGCAAACATTGTGCAATGTTAAGACCCACCTTGTTCCTCCATACCATACATGTAATTGGTTGGCCACCATTGCTGTTGCTGTCCTGTTCCCCACATCACTCAATCACTGTAGTCAGGGTAGGAGATAAACGGTCCTTTTTTACATATCACACATTTTCTAGGGACTGTATGGGGTGTGCAACTCACCATCAAAGTTAGTTGTGTCAACCCGAATTCACCACCATGTCATTTGTGGTAACGAACATGGCATTTTGTGTGTGTGTGCTTGCTGGTTTATGTTAGGACCATTTATACAAGTGAAACTAAGCTGCAGCTTCAATAACTTGCAAACAACTAATATAAACAGTTAAACGAAAATAAACAAAATAGTAACAAACACATTAAAAACAATAGATAACCAGCAGAGATACCTCATTATCTACTGTTTATCGGCACATGAGAAGCACATAGGCCGCAGCTTATTTAGGGATGGTCAACAAATTTTTTTTCGTCCAGCTTCATGGACTTGTTCCACAATTTTGGGACGAAATCCACTGTCCACCAGGGGCCTCGGAGCCGGGGGGGG